CTGTCATTTCCTCACCTGTTTCCTCTCCTGTCATTTCCTCACCTGTTTCCTCTCCTGTCTTTTCCTCACTTGTTTCCTCTATTCTTCTTCTCCTCACCTCTCCTGTCATTTCCTCACCTGTTTCCTCTCCTGTCTTTTCCTCACCTGTTTCCTCTCTTCTTCTCCTCCTCACCTCTCCTGTCATTTCCTCACCTGTTTCCTCTCTTCTTCTTCTCCTCACCTCTCCTGTCATTTCCTCACCTGTTTCCTCTCCTGTCTTTTCCTCACCTGTTTCCTCTCTTCTTCTTCTCCTCAGCTCTCCTGTCTTTTCCTCACCCGTTTTCCTCTCTTCTCCTCAACTCTTCCCTCTTCTCCTCACCTCTCCTGTCATTTCCTCACCTGTTTCCTCTCTTCTTCTTCTCCTCACCTCTCCTGTCATTTCCTCACCTGTTTCCTCTCCTGTCATTTCCTCACCTGTTTCCTTTTCTTCTCACCTCTCTACTCCATACCTCTTCTCTACACTGCGCCTTATTTCTGACCTTCCACGGATAGAATGGAGCAGGCATTTCATAGAGATATGGAGTTTGTCTGCGTGTGTGTGTGTGTGTGTGTATACGGGCACAGTGTTAGCATTGTGGAAGATCAACACGTGCTCCTCTTTACGGCATACAATTCCATTGTAACAGCCTAGCCCTGGTGATGACATCACTCAGTAGAGGAAAGTGGGATCAGCTCTGGAAGAAAAGTCACTATGCTATTATCGATCGCAACAAAAGGGCGCTAAATCCCTTAACTGAGCTAAATACCAGCGGGCACACTGAAGTCGATGAAAGGGAACCTTCTCTGACCCACCGCTTATGATTAGGAATATTCTGGATGCTTTATATAACTGTGGCGACAGCAATTTGTCATGGTTTATTTTATACCTTCGGGATAGAAACAGCTCCGGCAGAAAATAGGCGACCACTGCGGAATGATCGCTTTCTCCTGTTTAACTATTTATAGGTACGTGTTGGGATGAATAATTATGGCTTAGTTAATTGTAAATTTCTCCTTAATTACAAACAAAATTATTTTCAATTTCAGGATTCATTTTCAAAAATGACATATGGTCAAAAAAAAAAAGTTGCAGTGTTGTCACCAGTCTGTCTTATACACAGATGTTGGCATGTTCTCCACCAGTCTGTCTTATACACAGATGTTGGCATGTTCTCCACCAGCCTGTCTTATACACAGATGTTAGCATGTTCTCCACCAGTCTGTCTTATACACAGATGTTGGCATGTTCTCCACCAGTCTGTCTTATACACAGATGTTGGCATGTTCTCCACCAGTCTGTCTTATACACAGATGTTGGCATGTTCTCCACCAGCCTGTCTTATACACAGATGTTGGCATGTTCTCCACCAGTCTGTCTTATACACAGATGTTGGCATGTTCTCCACCAGTCTGTCTTATACACAGATGTTAGCATGTTCTAGACCATTCACATTTATGTTTGGTGACACACACACACAGATACCACCAACACACAAACACACACACAGAGATACAACCACACACACACACACACACACACACACGTATACACACGCAGATCCAGTGAGGCTTTTCACTTCCTATGCTTATCTGAGTTTTTTTCTGAAGTCTTGGTGCCAGGTAAGGAACTCTGGGCCTCATGCTATGGAATGCAAATAGCTTTATTGACTGAGTATTGATTAAGTATTGATAGCCAAAGCCGACTGTGGAAATGAATAAGTTGTAACGTAATAATAGAGTGCATCAAACCAACACCCGAATAAAAAGAAATCATTTGATTTGTATCACAATCTTATAGTTGTAAATGTGTAAATTACATTCAGCATTTGACAATTCACAATTAGTTATTCTTTCCTCTGTAAGGGTTAAACAAACCCCCCAAATTGCAGTTAATCATTAAGCTGACGTTTTCGAGGCGAGAGTTTCACACTTGACATAAGTTTACGCGTCACAGTAAACACGGTTTTCTAAGTCAATAGCATATTGCCGTTTTGAAGGTTTGAAAAGGTCCTCCGAATGATTTTCAAAATGACTGACATTTTCCAGGGAAACGAATCGGGCGTGTCTATTCTAGTGAGACGAGTCCTCGTTATTAGAGTTATTCATGTGAATTCCGCTCGCTTCCCATTGAACAGCTAGCTTTGAGCGGAGGAGAGAAAACCCCATGCGCTGTTTCACCTGACATTTAACCGGAATTACCAAACACATAGCAGCGCCGCGTCACGAAATTAGTTTGCCTTCAATCAAGTGTTCTTTGACTCATATTTCAGCTACTCGTATAAGGTCAACCTGTCACAGAGCAATATATGCAGATAAAAAGCTACGTAACGAGTAGCAACGGTGGGATTTCTGGGTGACCTTTGCTCGAGCACATTGTATGTGCTCACTTTCACATGTGTGTTTGTTCTCTGAACCCGGTTGACGTAGAAAACGTCGAACATTTGATCGGCTCTGTTTCTGTTTTCTTTCATCTAAAAAAAGGGGATCATTATATCTTCTTCCAAGAAACCCTGGGAAATGGTGCCACTGTTTGCTTTTTCTTTTTCTTTCAAGGACATATAACATATACTGTATCTATATATTTTTTTCTCTTGAGAGTACATATACAGTGGATATGAAAAGTCTTTATTGAGCCTCTATCCTAAAAAGTCTCACTGAGAGAAAGTTAAATCATGTCAGAACTCTTAACCACCTAACATGACCTATGACGTGAATAATTCAATTGAAAAACAAACTGAAATCTTTGAGGTAAAAAAAAAAAAACAAAAAAAAACTCACAATGCTTTGGAAAAAATATTTTGTACCTTTCTTCTGACTGATATCTTTCAACAACCCTCAGATGCTTTGGAAGCTCTCTGCGGACCATGGCTTTTGCTCTGAGATGCAACTAAGAAAATGTCAGGAAAATCCTGGAACAACTGAGCTTTATTTGTGATTAATCAGAGTCACTTTAAATGATGGCAGGTGTGTAATGACTTCTATTTAACATGAGTTTGATTGCGATTGGTAAATTCTGAACATAGCCACATCCCCAGTTATAAGAGGGTGTGCACACTTCTGCAACCAGGTTATTGTAAGGTTTTATTTTTTTTATTTTTCCCTCTCAAAGATTACCGTTTCGGTTTCACATGATAGGTCACACACCTGGCAGTTTAAGGGGTGTGTACAGTTTTTATATCCACTGTAGGAATATATATATGCTTAACAGCCAATCAGGACTGTCCAAGAGTGTTAGTTGAGACAAAGCATGTATGTCAGTGTGTGCGTGTGTTTATCTGACTTGTGAGCACATACACACGTGTCTGAGTCTGTGTGGATGCGAGGGTGTGAGAGATATACAGATATTGTGTGTGTGTGTGTGTGTGTCAGCATGTGTGTTTCATTAACTTCCTCTGTAGAACACTGGAAAGGTCAAGTAAATTGAAAGTGATATCTCAGTAGGAACAAAGCAACAGGCTACGTGTTCAGTCCGTCTGAGCACAGACAGACAGAATATTACGGACGATAGTACACAGGAAAAATAAACTGGGAAAAGATGAATCTGGTGAAATATTTCTGGAATGACAGCTGGGATGGAGAATTCCACGATGTTGTGATCTACTAAGACTCCCAGTTTTGATGTAATCTTAGCCAATGGGCACACAGCTCTCTGGACGGAAACGAATCGGGGCAGAGTTCCTCGTGTTATCATCAACGACCCCGTAATCCTGGTGAACGTAGATCCCTGATGAGGATGAGAAGTGTCTTCGCTCTCTTCATCATCATCTTTTGGACAGACGGATTAGTGGCACAAATTGAACATGGAACGCAGTCATTTCAAACTGTCTGCTACAGGATATGCTTTCACAGACCTGAAGAGGAGTTGTGAAAATGCTCATTTTAATTCCTATAGCTTCATTTGCATTGTGTGTGCCCAGATGATTGCCCCTGACTGTACAGTCACACACACACACACACACACACACACACACACACACAGACACACACACACACACACACACACACACACACAAAGACACACGAGCTCCGGCACAATTGTCATTGGTTATACCCTATTAGAATTCCAAAGCATTTAAATTGCATGGGCCTGCATATTTGTTGCCCGTGGAAAACCAGAGGGATCCTCGGGAGGTGAAGAAAACCTGACACGACGTGATTGCCAGCTGACAAACTTATGATGGCTCAGAGAAAAATGAAATTACCTTGCCCTCGTCTGGAGAGATTACTTCCTCACCCTTCGACCCCCTCTACCACACACACACACACACACACACACGCACACACACACACACACACACACACACACACACACACACACACACACACACAACGACACACACACACGCACTGAGTCCCCTAGTTCCCACATCTGCCAGATCAAACCTCAGCGAAAGGAGAACTGCGGGCGAAATAAATAAATATCGTAAGGGAAAAAAATCAAAATGCAAAAGCATTGTAATTCCCCTTTCAGCCCCTGGCTGGCTGGATATTAATTTCCTGGGTGTCAGGGGTGGGACAAGCAACAGGGGAGTTATCAGGAACGCCTGATTACTGTTTGGGCTTTAGGTGCCCCCTGAAAATGCCCGTCAGAATATATCACAGCTATGAACAAGGTCTTGCCTATTTCTTATCTCGATACGGCTGCTCCCTGACTTCTGAATGATTTGGAATGACTGGCGGTCTTTTGCCTTTCACACAACCCTAGACGACGTGCATATTTTCCCCCAATGAAAGTGTTACACATTGTTGAAATAGTGAAGAGTAAATATGACTGGATGTGGAATGCTAACTGGGGGGCAACAGGTGATCTAGCAGTAAGAGCAAATAACACATAACCAAAGGTTGGGAGATTGAATCTCAATAGTTGTTAAGTTCCGTTCCTAAGCATAGGCAGTTTAGTTAAATGAGGCAAAATGTTTCTTATTTTTTAGGTAACCAGGTAGGCCGATGGAGAACAATTTCTCATTTGCTACGGCGACCTGTGGAGAAGCTGGGGATTGAACCCAGGACGTCATACATACACGCGCTCTACCACTGAGCTACACCAACTCCTCCTCTGATGTCCACACTCACCTTTCCAGCTCAGTGAAGCCAGTCCAATCAGCACACTCGACATTGAGCTCTGACCAATCAGCACACTTGACATTGAGCTCTGACCAATAAGAACGCATATTCAACAGTTCAACAGCTCACGTATCACACAAAGCTACAAAAGAAGGCCACGTGTCTACAAGATAAAAGCCAAATCGTAAAATTCAGAGGTACACCACTAAATGTTGTCTGTGGGCAGCATTAAAAAAAACTTCTGTTTTGTATTTTCTTTTATAAAATAACTGAAACACTGAATTCAATAACTGAATAAAATATTTAATATTTCAGGTTTAGTTGTTGTGAATTTGAAAAAAACAAGTCCTTTGTTTTTCGCATTTAATTTTTTAATTTGTATTAGTCATGATTAGAGTGCAACACTCAGATCTTAGCCGGGTTTCCAGCATGCGCATAGTTAACGGCTGTGTGCTATTGCCATGGAGTTTAACAGATGAGAAAAAAATAACGTTTGTTAATATAACCTTTCTTAATATAACCTCATTCGCTGCACACGTTTTTGTTTGCCTATTAGCCTATACATTTGACTGATGGCCGGAGGAACACATGTCTATTGCTTTCGTGGCAATAAATGTCAATGTAAACAGTCTTTCCTTAAAAATGTGAGAAAGATGAACGCTTGCAACTATTTAGAGTCTGTTAAGAGAATGAATGTTTGTGTGGGTTTCAGAGAGGAGAGAGTAGCACACCAGAGTTGCGTGAATGTGTGGGTTTCAGAGAGGAGAGAGTAGCACACCAGAGTTGCGTGAATGTGTGGGTTTCAGAGAGGAGAGAGTAGCACACCAGAGTTGCGTGAATGTGTCCGGTTTGTTTCTTTTGGTTCAGAGTAGGAGGGAACAGAAAATACTCCATCCATGTGATTGGTCTGAATTATGTCCAGCTTTATTTTTGCGTAGGACAGAGAGATGGATGTAAACTCCGGAGTGGCTGATCAATCATACAACCAGTTAGCGTTAATGACGACCGGCTAGTCTTCTGATTCAGTCACACTCTGACGACGGGCTTTATGACCTATGAGGGTTTATAAGTTAATCAACAAGCAGCCACCTCGTGTTAAAACATTGGTTAGGTTCATCTGAATGAGCCAGGAATTAATATTCTCTTGGTAGATGTTTATCTATGTTGTTGCCAGCTTATCTTTTCCGTCTAACACCCGATAACCTCCCCCCCCCCCAACACACACAAAAAACAACCCACAAAACAACGTTGTTCCAGTCGCTCCCAGGACGTCTTCGTCGAAGCCCATGATGATTAACGGCAGATGAAGTGCGGAGTCAATTCCGGATGTCAAGTCGTGTTTACTCCCGCCATCAGAAAAGCAATTATCCTCCGCAGTAGCTAATGCTCCATTATCATAATGGTATTTGCAGATCTTACATCTGTGATGAGTTGGAGCAGGTGTCAGAGTCATTAGTGCTCCAGGTTCAGGCCATCCACGTTCCTAGCGGCTGTCACCGAGGCCGCATCACCCGCCAGAGTCGCAGGGAGTTTGGCGTTCGTCTTTGCGGCCGACGCTCTGTCGGGGGGTCGAGTGAACTAAAGAGCTGTAAACCGGCTCACGGTGACACTGCAGGGTGATAACAAGGCTATTAAGTTGGGACCTCACTCTATGTCTTACAGAAGGAGTGTGAGGATGTGTGATGATGTGTAGCTCTGGCGGGTTACGGTGTGTGAGGGTGTGTAGCTCTGGCGGGTTAGGGTGTGTGACGATGTGTAGCTCCGGCGGGTTAGGGTGTGTGAGGGTGTCTAGCTCCGGCGGGTTAGGGTGTGTGAGGATGTGTAGCTCTGGCTGGTTAGGGTTAGGGTGTGTGACGATGTGTAGCTCCGGCGGGTTAGGGTGTGTAAGGGTGTGTAGCTCTGGCGGGTTAGGGTGTGTGAGGGTGTGTAGCTCCGGCGGGTTAGGGTGTGTGACGATGTGTAGCTCCGGCGGGTTAGGGTGTGTAAGGGTGTGTAGCTCTGGCGGGTTAGGGTGTGTGAGGGTGTGTAGCTCCGGCGGGTTAGGGTGTGTGAGGGTGTGTAGCTGCGGCGGGTTAGGGTGTGTGAGGATGTGTAGCTGCGGCGGGTTAGGGTGTGTGAGGGTGTGTAGCTGCGGCGGGTTAGGGTGTGTGAGGGTGTGTAGCTCTGGCGGGTTAGGGTGTGTAAGGGTGTGTAGCTGCGGCGGGTTAGAGGGTGGTGTGTGGGTGTGTGAGGTGTGTAGCTGCGGCGGGTTAGGGTGTGTAAAGGTGTGTAGCTGCGGCGGGTTAGGGTGTGTGAGGGTGTGTAGCTGCGGCGGGTTAGGGTGTGTGAGGGTGTGTACTCTGGCGGGTTAGGGGTTAGGATGTGTAGCTGCGGCGGGTTAGGGTGTGGAGGGTGTGTAGCTGCGGCGGGTTAGGGTGTGTGAGGGTGTGTAGCTGCGGCGGGTTAGGGTGTGTGAGGGTGTGTGAGGATGTGTAGCTGCGGGTTAGGGTGTGTGAGGGTGTGTAGCTGCGGCGGGTTAGGGTGTTTGAGGGTGTGTAGCTGCGGCGGGTTAGGGTGTGTGAGGGTGTGTAGCTGCGGCAGGTTAGGGTGTGTGAGGGTGTGTACTCTGGCGGGTTAGGGTGTGTGAGGGTGTGTAGCTGCGGCAGGTTAGGGTGTGTGAGGGTGTGTACTCTGGCGGGTTAGGGTGTGTGAGGGTGTGTATTCTGGCGGGTTAGGGTGTGTGAGGGTGTGTACTCTGGCGGGTTAGGGTGTGTGAGGGTGTGTACTCTGGCGGGTTAGGGTGTGAGGGTGTGTACTCTGGCGGGTTAGGGTTAGGGTGTGTGAGGGTGTGTACTCTGGCGGGTTAGGGTGTGTGAGGGTGTGTACTCTGGCGGGTTAGGGTGTGTGAGGGTGTGTACTCTGGCGGGTTAGGGTGTGTGAGGGTGTGTACTCTGGCGGGTTAGGGTGTGTGAGGGTGTGTACTCTGGCGGGTTAGGGTTAGGTTTGTTTTAATTAAATGCACAGATTAAAGATCCAAAACGGTACATACAGCACAGAGAAATGTCATATGCAAATCCAGATTATTCTACTGCGGTTCAAATTTCTCTCGACCTACTTACCAACATAGAGTCTGCATAACCCAATAAATTAACTATCTATTTTTAAGGTCTATTTTCAAGCACACGCTCGTATTTTAATGTGTCCTTATCTGGGGTTTTGAACCGGCAACCTCTGGCACCAATGTCCCGCACACCCCCCTCAACTGCAGTTCTGACACGGACACTTGTTCACGGACACTGAAACGGTGTCTGGAATGAGATGAGAGTTCCCGTCTGTCACTGTTCCCATGGTGAATCCCACCCCCCCCCGTCCTCTGATCCGCTCCTTGGTAACTCCCAGAGGGGACAAACGGGCCGTTCTATCCAGAGGTTTAATCAGAACCGCCGGGAGCTCTCGCCCTCCAGCCCTGTTCTTGGCTACCACATCGCGGGGCGGATATATATTTGATAGGATTTGGTAACTGATCTAATAGTGCTCTACGGTGAGTGCCGGGTCATGAGGAGATTACGGGCCAGCGTTCTCCTCCCTCAGTCTCTCTCGCCATCTCGGTGGCCACCGACTGATCTCAGTACAGGCCGCAGTGTACTGTCCTAGTTAATTTCCTGGAGGGTTTAAAGGCTTGGAGGGGCACACTGAGCTCTCATCACGACAGTCACTTCTGCCCATCTGCTCGGCGCGTGTCACCGTCTTTGGCGTGTACCAGTGTATGGCATGGTATGTATGTATGTGTGTGTGTGTTTGTGTGTGTGTGTGTGTTTTTATGATGGACTGTGTGGGACTCTGCATTGGGCATGTTCTATGTGTGTGTTATGAATGTCCCTGGGTGTGTGTAAGAGATGGTACATTAGTGTGAATCAGATTATAAAGCCTGTATCTTCTTCTTCTGCATAGGTGTTTGTGTTCCCTTGACAAGGTGCGTCCCAGACAGAATCAAAAGCACCCTGCCAGACCTCTCTGATTGACTAGATTTGTACAGGTTCACAGTTTAGTTCTAATGGGATTCGAACACGGATACGGGTACACTTTTATACCGATTTAAAAATGTTGAGGCTTATGGATTTGACGCCGACCACACAGAGTTCAAAAACATTAAAGCCAGATTGCCGTTCTATTTTTTCCATCTCTCTCAGAACCCTACCAAAGCTTTTAAATCCCTGAGTGAAATACGGTGAGAAAGCATTGTCCTTTGGATGAAACCAGGGGAGGTTTTTATTTCCTCCTATCAGATGGCACTCTCTGCAAGCGTAGAAGCAGATTGGTGAGATTGTTTTGACCTTCACTTTCAGAATAGGGGGCAGCTCGTTACCCGTGCAGCTATATAGGATCGATATCCCACAGAGGACTGACGCTGACCGCCCAACACCCCCCCCAACCCCTCTCCACCCTCCCCAAATCTCCCCATCTTCCAGCCTGAAAGGCTCTGTCCGTTCTAAAGCCCCCTGGACACGGCGCTACGACTAACGTCGACCTGTGTTACTTGTATGTGTTATTGTATGCGTTCAGATTTGGGACCGGTCCACGTGGTCTTTACGATCTCCCCAGGCGAGGTGATCGGCCACCCTAACAAAGGCTTCTCTCTGACACCAACTGCCAGGGGGTAATTCCTGTCAGGGGACTAGAAAGTGCCGTGGCGGCTGACTCCATCTCTGGGGAGTAGAGAGAGAGGCTCTGGCCTGAGGAGGTGCAGGGGGGGGGGGGTCCTGTAGTTCTGCCAGAACCAGGCTCCTCCACAGGACATAGGCCAGGACAGTGTCATGTCAGGACAGGAGACAGACATGACAGATGGAAGCTCTCCACAAGTCGGGGCTGGGTCGGGTCAGGTACAGAACCACGATTGAATTGTCCGGACAGAAACGTAATAAGGAATCCAATCGCAGATGTTTTTTTAAATGTAGTTATCTATGACCTGCTGTTGTTATGAACCTCTTAGGGTAGTGGTACCAGAA